ATGTTTATATATCCAGAAATTAAAATTTCAGTGATGAGGCAGTAAATTAACTTAATCAAGTTGGGAGGCATCTATGAGAAATCATTTTTATATGGTTTAATGAGAGAAGGCATTGGAAATGGTGATTTTAATCAGCCAAGTGGGATTTATAAGCAAGAAGATCCTGCTTAAACAACTCATTAGACAGCTCCAAAAAAATCTTTACTGCCTCTGCAGACAGTCAAAACAAAATTTATTGTGTGTATTTACTAATTCCCTAAACCCCTCGGCGGTGTCGCAGATCAAAAGTCAACGGATTAAAGCAGGAAAGAAAGAGGGGAAAAATCTCCATAAGCACCTGCTGGAGCAGAGCAAGAAGCTCCAAGTCCAGATGAAAAGGCAGACATGGCTCAAACCAATGATATCTGGCTCCTAAATCCCTGTTTATTATAAATATAGAGAGGGAGAAACACTCGACACCTTCTAATCCTTGTTGTAATCTGTGAGGGACTTGCACCCTGGTGATAGTGGAGGACTGGAATGAGAATAACATGGAAAATGGGAAAGTTAATGGGATCCTTCATCCTGGGATTCTGCTGTTCCCTGATTTATCAGCCCCTCTGCCTGGCTGTCAGGCACAGGAGCCAGAGGAAAACTCCTCCTAAAACTGCTGCTCTGCTCAGCAACATTCCCTGCTTGGGAAGGCAGATCCAAGCGGAATTAACTGGTTTTATAAGGGAACATTAGAGCTCAGTCCAATTCTAAGCACAAAAGGCAGTTTGCTAAGCAGCATTTCACAGAGGCACAGAAGGGTTTGGGTCAGAAGGGTCCCTGAAGATCATCCCATCCTGAGCCTCAAAATCCAACACAATTTCAACTCAATGACACAGAATGATGAGGATTTTTTCCTGCAGGAACTGATTTGAGGGGATTGAAAACCACTACAAAGGTAGAAGTTCTTCCCTCTGCACTAAACATCCGGTTTCCTTGTGGGATGCAAGAGAAAACCCCGGCAGGAGCAGGGGATGGAGCAGACTCACCCTCCAGGGGCTGCTCTGAGACCTGCATGGCTTTCACTCCCAGTTAAATTCACTCTGCTCCCAGCAGGACCAGCAGAACGTTGTGATTGCACCTCAAAACTCAAAATCTAAGGCAACACAGCGAGGTCTGGGACAGCAGCAGCGGGGAGGGACCTCTGTGGGAAGCTGGGAGGGCTGGGAGGCAGCAGGAGCATCTCCTGAGGGACCAGGAGCATCTCCTGAGGGACCAGCTGGGCTGATCTGCAGCACAGCACCCCACACAACCCAACTTGGGCTTTGACCTCAGGCTGCTCCTTCTGGGCTCGACCAGACACGACAGGACCCCCCAAAACCTTCTCCCATCGGTCCCCACCCCAAACACTCCCAGCTGCAACTTCAGTTCAGCCGCAAACCAACCACAGTTCATCGAATCTTCCTCCAACCTGCTCCCCACAGGAGCCTCCTGAGCCCTCGGGGTGGTCCCCGGTGGGACCCAGGGGTGCCCCCAGCCCTCAGAACCCACCAGAAAAAGCCTTTCCACACGCACGACCTACTCACTGACTTTCCAAGATTAAAAAAAAAAACCAAACAAAAACCACCAAACAAGCCCTGTTTTCACACCAACCCAAAAATAGCTCCCTGCAAGTTATTTCTGGTCCTTCCACGCCAGCAGAGGTTGGAGGCTCGTGTGGCACCACTGGGGACATGGGCACGGGACAAGGACACACAGCCCTGGTGTCCCTGCAGCTCCTCCTCCAAAACCTCCCCCAGAGCCAGCTGCAAACTGCTGATCCTATTCCCAATAATCCCAGAACCATCCTCAGCAGGTGGGAAGGGGCCTCCAGGACGATCTGCTCCAACCTCTCCTGGGAAGAGCTGGGCCTGGATGAGAGGGCCCAGCTGAACCCTCCCAAATCCCTGCTCTGGTTATTCCACAAAGAGGAGAATCCTGGGGGTTTGTAACCTTTTAAAAACACTGTCAGTGCTGAGGCTGATGTGTCTGGACCTCCACTCACACTGAACCTCACAGACAGCTCTGAGTTCAACCCTTTCTTCCCTTGGCAGAGGTGTCCGGGGACACAATCCATGGGAAGCGTTTCCCACATTTACAAACACGGATTGCACACGGATTACTGGCTGTTCCCAGAGCAGAACCTCTGCCTTGCCAGATGTTTGGGCTTTAAGGTGAATGACAGGAGAGGTGGAAGGTGAAATAAGGAATGTGCTGGGAGAGCACCAGGATAGAGGTGGGTCCTGCCTTCCTGCAGGTTTTAACCCTCCTGAAGTGTCCACATCTCCTGTCTTACAAAAACCCAGCATCCTTAGATGGGATTGTCCCTTCCCTCATGTCCTTCTCTTCCACACCCAAGCCAGGCTCAGCACAAGGGGCTGCTGGAACCACCCATGAGGGGCAGAGCCCTGGAGGAAGGATTTTCCCCTCCTCTCCATCATCTTCACCCTCTGACCCCCTCCTGCCATCCCTGGTTCTCCTCCAGCCCTGTCCTCTCCTCCTCCCTCATTTTCTCCCACTGAAAGGCTTTTTCCCTAACTTTAAAACCCTTTCATCCCTTCATGTTTTATCAAGATAGAGCACATTTTGCTCTATTTTGCCCAATATTCAGCTCATCTCACAAAACTAGGTCACCAAATTCGCAGCTTATATGAATTAGGCTTTAAAGACCCAGAAAATCCCTCTTTTGGGCTTTTTTTCCTTTTTTTCTCCTTTCTCTGTACAATTTCCAGGTCTAAAATATTTACCAAAACAAACCCAAACACACCACTTTGTTTTAAAATTGTAAGAGTTATTTACAAAATAACTTGTCCTCCATTATTTTGTTTGAAAACAAATCAAGTTACATGCATGTTCTGGGCTGCAGGTGAGCCCTGTAAAGCTTCCACCCCAGCAGGGAGGTTTTATGGAAATAGCAGGGAATTTTTGTGGAAGTATCAAGGAGTTTTTATGGAAATATCAGGAGGGTTTTGTGGAAATATCAGGAGGGTTTTGTGGAAATATCAGGGAGTTTTTATGGAAATATCAAGGAGTTTTTATGGAAATATCAAGGAATTTTTATGGAAATACTTAAGTTTTTATGGAAATATCAGGGAATTTTTGTGGAAATATCCAGGAGTTTTTATGGAAATATCAGGAGGGTTTTGTGGAAATATCAGGGAGGTTTTATGGAAATATCAAGGAGTTTTTATGGAAATATCAAGGAATTTCTATGGAAATATGAAAGCTTTTATGGAAATATCAGGATGGAAGAGCACAGAGGATTCCCCTGCGCTGTCCCAGCCTCCCTGGGACCAGGCTGAGCTGCAGCCTGAGGCTCCTGGATGTGCAAGGAAAACAGGATGGAAACACTGGAACACCAACATACGGACCAAAAAAAATGATCAAAGCTCTTCTGAACATTCCCTGGGGCAGGAAGCAGGCTGGGAAAGGAAGGCATGGACTCGCTGGCTGCAGGAACATCACAGCCCAGCCTGGGCTGAGCTGGGGGCACCACGTTCCCAACCCCCACCCAGAGCACCAGAACATCCAGGGAGCACCAAACCCCATCACTTTGGTGACACCCACGCTGCCAAAATCCCTCCAGGGGCCACAGTCTGGAGGGAAACACAACTTTGGCTGCCCTTCAAGATCCTGTGCTACGCTGAATTACCCCAAACTTCACCTTTTTTTTTAAAAAAAAACAGGATTAATGAAATTTTGGACCCTGTTTTCTTGTTACTAGACCTCGTGGGAGCCTGATACACCAACTCCTGCATGCACAGCAAATTTGGTCCAGATAATCCAACAGAATTAATTATCTGAAAAAAACGAGCCTTCAAAGATCAGGTGTCCACAAATCACCCAGGACAAAGCTCAGGGTCAGGTGTGATGTTCCCCTGTTCATCTGTTATTCTGATGGATATGTGACTGCCAGTTGCACATTTCCTTCCATTTCTAACCCCACTTTTCTCCTATTCCACCATTTATTGCACCACTGAACACGTATATTGCATAAGGGATGTTAATGGCAGTGATTTGCCACAGAAATGTGGGGTTGGAGTCTTTCAGGAACTGGAACAATCAGCTCAGCTTTTCCAGCACTGTTAGTGCTGAGGTGACAAACAAATGGCACTTTTTCCCTCTCTGAATTTGGGACAGGCTGGCTCCTCTCCAGTTTGGACACTTTCAGAGTATTGCTTTGGGAACATCACTAAATAAAACCTCCTTCTGGGTAAAATCCAGCCACCCCTTGAACTTTTTTAAAAGAACAGGTGATGTCCATGAGGTCCTGGGGGATGTTTCCTGCTTTAGGTCCACACAGTCCCAGGACATGCTGAGCTGGAAGGACCCACAAGGGCCATGGAACCCAACCCTTAACCCTGCAGGGGCCCATCCCAAGAGTCACCATCCCAAGAGGATCATCCAACTCGTAATTCCCGTGGTTGTGCCACCACACAAACGCTGAAAAGCATTTCAGAAGGACAATAAAGAAATATTAAACAGAGTGTTCTGGGATTTCCAATTTCACACGGTTTTGCAAGGAAAAGAACCTTTTATGGGGGGGGAAAAAGGCATTTCAGAAGGATATCTGTGAGCATCCAGGTGTGCAGCACCTGCACAGGTGAGATGGGAACCAAGACAGGAACACTGAGCCAGGAATTCCCCCCCATCCCTGTTTCCTGCCAGCTGGGAACAGTGTCCAGGCCCGGCAGTACCTGGGAAGAGGGGCTGGATTGTTCTCCCTCCTGCAATCCTTGGGATGTTTATTTTTTTCCCTTCCCCCCCCTGCTTTTTGTTCCTTCTATTCACCTTTCGTTTCCTCTTTTTTTCTCCCATTTTTTCCTTTCCGTTTTCCCTTTTCCCCCCCTTTTTTCTTTTTTTTCCTTTCATTTTCCCTTTTTTATTTTTTCCTTTTCTTTTCTCTTTTTTATTTTCCTCCTGCTGGCACACAGCCAGTGTCCCACCCAGTTCCTCTCCCTGCCCCCAGGACCTGGAAGCCCCAGACTCACCCGTGGTCTCCACGATGCCCTCGAGGATGACGACGATCTCGAACTGCTCCGTCTGCATGCTGCGCTGGGACAGGTCGTAGAAGGGGCTCTTGGAGTCTATCACGTGGCAGATGGTGAGGGGGGACACCAGGAAGAGCTGGTCAGCCCCGGTGCTGAAGCCCACGTCCAGCTCCAGCTGATCCAGCGGCAGGAACTCGCCCTCTGGGGTCTGCCGGGACTGGGGAGGGAGAGGCAGAGGCAGGGAAGGGGGTCAGGAGCAGGCTGGGCGTGGGAAAGGGCTGCCCAGAGGGGTTGGGACATCCCTGGAAGCGTCCAAGGCCAGGTTGGAGCAACCTGGGATAGGGGAAGGTGTCGGAGTGGGACAGGATGGGCTTTAAGGGCCCTTCGCACCCAAACCAGCCTGGGATTCTGGGATCACCAAGACACCCCTGCAGCATCCCACACCCCATATCCCACACCCCTGCAGCATCCCACACCCCA